TCCTGGGTGTTCATTGGAAGGACTGATGTTGAAGCTGAAACTCCAATATTTTGGCCACCTGATGCGAAGAGCTGACTCATTTGATAAGACCCTGATGTTGGGAAAGATTGAAGGCAGGAGGAGAAGGGGATGACAGAGGATGAGATGGCTGGATGGCATACCAACTCAATGGACATGAGTTTGGGTAAACTCTGGGAGTTGATGATGAACAGGGAGGCCTGGCGTGCAGCGGTTCATGGGGTCCCAAAGAGTCAGACACGACTGAGTGACTGAACTGAACTGAAAGGAGAAAAAAAGGAAGATGAAGTAGTCATGAACTCGGGGCGTGTACAGCTCCAATAGTTAACTAGATTTAGCTTGGCATACAGAAAATCTCTCGAGCTTGCAAATCCTAACTCTATAACCAACTGCTCTTTGTTCCTGGAGGAGTTGCTTCTCTTCAGTTCAAAGTCTTCCTCTACACAACTTGGATCTTACTGCCTGATTTCACAAGAGGACCAAGAGGATTTAATGAAATAACAGACCCCCAAAATGTGTGTAGAAACAGTCAAAGAATGGAATAATTTGTGCTTGAACTACTTTGGAATTCCAAGTAAAACCCAATGTGTGTTTTTTCATATATTTAACATTCAAGTGCTGCATTAAGCTGTTATTAATTCTGGTGATTAGCTGTTCTTTGTGATCTATAATTAGGGAATCTCAGCTCTTATATAATGTATACCTAAATTTATTTATAACTTATGAACTCACTACATGAGAGAACATAATTATCCCCCATTATTACTGCAACTAATTACACCATGAACAGAAAACTAATCACAATCAAGACCTGGCCTGGACCACTACTCTTCCTTCTCTACCTACTCAAACTCTGAGCCAGCAGATCTTTCCAACAATGATGTTTAATCTCCATATTCCTCTCCAATTCACTTGGTAGACATATCCCTACTCTTACAGTGGATACTGGCAAGTTCTAGACCGGGCTTACCTCTCTGAATTCTTACTTGAGATTCTTAATTAATTGAACTATCTTACTTGAGATTTAGGGATTTCTGCTGAATGAGTTCTTTATGGGGCAGATTCTGAAAACATATAAGGTGGAGGCGGATAGGAATCCATTGGAAGATTTTCTTTATTACAGGAAACAGATCCCATGAGGGGCCAAGCATAATTAGGGAATCTCAGGCAAGCTGGCACCCACTACTCTGGGAAGGATGACAGGGAACCTGTGACCTGAGAAAAGGTGCCCCCCACAGGACAGAGAGCCACCTTGAGATTCAAGTCTAGATACAAAGGAAAAAGGGAAGTCTGCTCAATCCCTGCAGGAGCACTTGACCCTCGCTGACAGCCTAAAATGGTCCCCATTGACATCTGCTAGCAGAAAAGATAAATAAGAGCCTCAACAGCACCTAATCATGAAGATCTAGGCTTACACGTGGGCTCCACATAAGGTCTCTGAGTGAGGGGGGAAGCTAGGAGGCCCAGCTGCCCGAACTGGGTGCTGGTGCTGTTTGCAACTGTGACTGAGTGACAAGCTTACCTATGAGAACAAAGGCGCTCTCACTCTGAAGTCGACGTGTGAGTCACCTCAGAGGCTAGGGACCTGGACCCACGGGGGCGGCCTGGGAACAAAGGTCAATCGTGAGCCCACTGCACGATGAGTTTGTTTTTTTCCTTTTAAAATGTTTTATTATAGGTCTTTATAGAGCCACATCCAGACTCCAGATCCAGCTGCCAAGCAGACCCCGTCAAGACCAGCTGGAACAGCAGTGCTGCAGCAGCAGAATCAAGGCAAGCAACAGGGTGGTGGGAAAGCACTATTTCCTCCCCTCCAAGTGACTTGTGAAAGAGGACTGTCCGTTCATCTTAGGGAATCGTCGGGGTCTTGGAAAATTCAAGGGGAAGCGTATAGAGAGGAAAGTCCTCAAGGGAAAACACAGGATTTGCTGCTGAAGTAAATACATCAAGACCCAAAGAACTAGTTAGAAATATCACAACTGTGACACTGTTCATACCCCATACCGAGAGGTCACACTTGGAATGAAATGGCTAATGTCAAGCTTTCTAAGTATCAAGGTCTACATGTCCTGAGATAAAGCACCCCAAACCCACAGCCAAGAGAAACTAACTGGCCTTTGCTTGGCTTTCAGCTCTTGAGGGG